CGCAGCAGGTTGAAGCCCTGGCCTGAAGCACCAGCATCCCATATGGGTGCTGGTTTGAGTTCCAGCTCTCTGATGTGGCCTGGGAAAGCAGTAGAAGGTGGCCCAAGTCCTTGGGCCCCTATACCCACGTGGGAGACTTGGAAGAAGCTCCTGGCCCCTGGCTTCAGATCAACTCAGCTGTGGCCATTGTGGCCATCTGGGGAGTGAACTAGCAGATCGAAGACCTCTCTCTCTCTCTGTGTAACTCTTTCAAATAAATAAAATAAATCTTTATTATATATATATCTATATAGTATATATAGTATAACATTCTATATTATATATTATATATATTCTAGTATATATAGTATAACATTCTTAGCCATTTAGTTTCACAAAGTTGTAAAAGACTTCAAGATACTTTGCTTGGGGCCAGTGTTGTGGCATCGCAGGTAAAGCCATGGCTTGCAATGCTGGCATCCCATATGGACACAGGTTCAAGTTCTTGTTGCTCTGCTTCTGATCCAGCTCTCTGTTGATGGCTGGGAAAAGCATCAGAGAATGGCCCAAGTGCTTTGGCTCCTGCCACCCATGTGAGAGACCTGGAAGAAGCTCCTGGCTTCATTCTGGTCCAGCCCTGAGCATTGTGGCCATTTGGGGAGTGAATGAATGGACGGAAGATTTTGTTCCTCTCCCCCTTCCTCTCTCCCTGTAACTCTGCCTTTCAAATAAATAAATAAATCTTTATTGTTTAAAAAATATTTAGCTGCCAGAGTCTCTGCTCTGGCTTCCCTGGTCATGGCTGCCTCCACCGGGGACTAAGGGATGGGTTCCCCTGCTGATTCCTTCCCTCTTCCACCCGGGTTACACACTGGCCAGGGCTTGCTGGTGCTCTCTCAGTGTCTCCAGCCAGGCAGCTTTGAGGATAAGAGAGCACCTCAGAGCTGAGCCCGGCTCCCCCAGCTCCTGGCGTCTTCCCACCCAGGATCACCATGTTAGCCGCTGGTAGCCTGCCTCCAGGGGAACAAGCTGCAAAGCCTCTATGAAGCCAGAAACGCTTTTCTAAAAGGGCCAGCATCTCTAGCAGAGTAAATGCTGTCTTTAAGCCAAAATCCAATATTTAAGCCAAAAACAAGATTTCAGAACTGCATTGTATAGTGTATTTTTATCCCAGTTCACTGAGAAGAGAACAAAAGGAGATGATGGACTTAGGGTTAGAGTTGACAAAGGAAAGAACCTTCTCAAAATACAGATTATACATTGAAGCAAGTTAGCACAGACTGCTGGCCTTGGGGGTATTTAACGATAGAATAGACAGTCATTCTTTTTGAATGATTTGGCTGTAGATCTGCTTGGAATCAAGAACGGAAATAACTGTTCTGAGGTTCCCTCTGGTTTGTGTCATTTCTGATCTCTGACAACTCATGCCCCTTTGCCCACTGTCTGTATCCCAGGTCCTTGTAGAGTGGCAGAGACATAGAAGTTCATGGCAGGGTGGAGGGAGGTGGTGACGCTGAGAATTCCTGCACCACAGGGATTGGGAAGGAACCACTGCAGTGCTCTGGGAGCCTACGAGCTGAGCAGGTGACGAAAGCAGGCAGCACGGTCCAGTCCTTCAGATATTTCTGGCATCTGATGAATCAAGCAATCCATTCTTGAACAGACCTCAAAGCAATACAGGAAAGCTGTGATTCCAATCTGAAGATGCTACTGATCAGAGACAATGAAGACGTTTTCTTTTTTTAAAAAATATTATTTGTTATATTTGAAAGGCACAGGGGGAGAGAGAGATCCCATCCCCTGGTTTACTCCCCAAATATACAACCCGGGGCTGGGCCACGCCGAAGCCAGGGGTCTAGAAGTCCATCCGGGTGATGGGGCTCCAAACACTTGAGCAGTCAGCTGCTGCCCTTCAGGGCGTTAGCTGGAAGCAGAGCTGGGACTTGAACCCAGGCACTCTGATATTAGATGCGGATGTCCCCAACCATCTTCACAGCTGCACCAAATGCCCGCCCCAAGATGTTCTTCTCTTCACACTCCTTCCTGGCTTCCAGCTCTTATTCAGTCTAATAAATATAACACGAAAGAAAATGATTTGTGATTTGTGGGATGTGTTAGAACCTATTGGAGTCTCTATGGGATATATGTAACTACCATAAATCTCATGATGCAAATCAACTTTGCAAGATACATACCTTTCTCAGTTTTTCTACAACTTGATTTTTTCTCTGAGGGTCATTCTGCCAAGTGGCAGATGCCAGATCTTAGTTTCCTCTGGGACGTGGGGCCTTGCACAGTGCCACAGCATCAGGGGAGAGCCAGTAGGGCGTTGTCCTTGTCAGGGCGTGCCTGCTGTGTCTGGCAGAATGTCCTATGTCCTGAGTCCCTCTCCTGTTCCGAGTCCAGATGGTTGTTTCCTTGTCCCTCCTCCTACCCGCGGGGACTCCCTTGACACTCTGTGTCCTGACTTCTGTCCATCATCATTCCTGGACTGCAGAAAACAAGGTGGGCGCCAAAGCCACAGCTCTGTGTTACTCTCAGTGTCTGGGAAGCAGTCGCATTGAGGCTCAAGGGGATGCTTTGAGGCTGCCCCTGTCCCCTGCTGAGGCCCACAGCCCAGATGGTTTTTCTCTGCCCTCCTTGTGCAGGGAAAATAGGGCCTGTGGCATCCGGAAAGCTTCCTGGCGCCATCATGGAGGAAGAGAAAGGGTCTTGGAACTCCTTCTTGGGAATCCGGTGGTGTCTAAGTCTTTGTCTTCCCTTCCTATTCTCTGTCTTCACCCTTCCAGTCCACATGAACGCTGTCTGGTCTCAGTGGTGGCACTAAGATCCTCAGGGCTGGGGCTTGGCATCCTCTGGAAGCTGTTTCTGCTGTAGCTACCCTTCCCCGAGGTCCCTGAGGTCTCACCCTCTGGCTTTACCTGGGGAGATCCAGGGGCTGTCAGGAATCGGAAGAGTATCTTTTGGTGTATCACAGTCTGGCACCACTGTAACACCTCAAAAGAACCTGAATTATGAGAGGCGACGAGAACTGGCAGATTTCAGAATCCGGTGAGAGGCAAAGCACCATTTCCCTTCTTCGAGGCAGCAAGAAGGTGCCCTGCTCTTCCATATACTTCACCCCAATTTTAGTTCTTACTGGGATCTCGGGCAGGTCACTGATACTGCAGGTGTTGATCAGTTGAGACCTACTTCCTCTGTGCCTGGAAAACCCTCTCCAGGGAGGAGGAGTCTGTTTCCCCCTCCAGGGTCTGGGCTGGAGCCTGAGACTCCTGAATCTTGGGAGGGGGCCTTTCAGTGGGTGCCTGATGCCTTCCCAGAGAGCCTTAGATTGAAAAACTGGGAAGAACAAGTGGAAATAAATGAATCTCCCCTACCTTGGAAATTAATTCTTTCAACAGATTGTGTTAGCACTTGAAATCGCTGCTTTAACTACTAAAAATGATTAAATTAGCAGCTCTGTATTTTGCCAAGATTTTTATAGGCTTTTTCCCCCTACTCAACAAATTAAAACCTGGCTTGCAGGGGACTGTAGTAGACTGGAGACATTTCTCCTCCTGTCGCTGGATGCTGGGGTAGCAAGCTTTTGACAGTTTTTAAAAAGAAAAACTTAATTCTTGATTACTACTCCTTCTGTGTCTTATACCAGGACTGCAGTATGGGCGTGTGGGAGGAAAACTGATGTAACACTGAAGAGTTTAATAAATATTTGTAAGATGGAGTTTTGAAATCCGCGCTTCCCAGAAGCCTATTATTATAAGAAATACAACTATTTCATTTCAAAGGTAATGCTAGATCTTTGATAGTATGCTAATGAATTGAATAAAAATTTTCATAATATAAATATCAGACATAATGCAAACTAAGAGATTTAAAACAACATTCTTAGCGTAGACGTCTGCCCTCGCAGTTAAGAAACAGGTTAGAGCACCTGCATCCCATCTCCCATAGCAAGTACCCGGGTCTGAATCCTGGCCCCACTAATACAGACCCTGGGAAGCAGATGTGTTGGCCCAAGTAGCTGGGTCCCTGCCACCCATGTGGGAGACCTGGGTAGAGTTCCCAGCTCCCAATTGCTGCAGGCATTTGGGGAATGAACCAGCAGATGGGGGCTCTGTCTGTCTCTCTGTCTCTCAAATAATAATTAAAATACATTTGAATTAAACTTATTTTATCATAAAATATAACTGCTAGCAGTCATAGTCACCATCCAAAAATATATTCTCCAAAATCTAGATAACATAATGTTGAACATAAATAATGCAAAAGGGAGTACAGAATTATGAGGAAATATGTTGTATGATGTTCAAAATAATATTATAATCCTGGGGGCCAGTGCTGTGGCATAGTGGGTAAAGCTGCCGTCTTCAGTGCCATCATCCCATATGGGCACCAGGTTCAAGTTCTGGCTGCTCCACTTCTGATCCAGCTCTCTGCTGTGGCCAGAAAACAGTGGAAAATGGCCCAAGTCCTTGGGCCCCTGCACCCATGTGGGAGACCTGGAGGAAGTTCCAGGCTCCTGGCTTCAGTTAGGCCCAGCTCCAGCCATTGCAGCCATTTGAGGAGTGAACCAGCAGATGGGAAGACACCCCCTACCCTGTAACTCTACCTTTCAAGCAAATAAATAAATCTTTAGAAAGTAATAATAATATTATAATCCTGAATTACATTTCAAATGAAACATATTTTTACTAAGCCCTAAACTCATATCCACTTTCAAGGCATAGGGGATAGGCATTGGCCTAGGATAAAGATCCCAGACTAAGACATGCACATCCCATAACAGCCTATCCAAGATCAATTCCTGGCTCTGGGTTCCAACTTCTGCTGGTGCAGACCCTGGGCAGCAACAGGCAATTGCTCAAATATTTGAGTCCTTGCCATCCACATGGGAGAACTGGACTGTGTTCTCAAGTTCAACCCCACCCAGTCCTGGCCTTTGTGGGCGCTGAGGGAGCAAAGCAGCAGATGGGAATTCTCTCTGTTTCTGTCTCCTGACTCTGATTAAAAACAATAAGAAAAAAACTTTGGAAGTATATATTACTGAGTGTTATAATTGGAAGTGGAAATAGGACACAAGGCATATATTTACTTACCATATATATATGTGTGTGTGTGGTCATAAGTGTTTTTAACAAACAGTGCATGAATAAAAGCCCCCCTCCCTTGCACCGAAGCATAATCAGTGGTTATCTTCTGGATGCTGTATAAAAACAAGATTAGAACATTTTAAAAACCTTTTATAATGACCAGATGAATGAAAAACACGACTTTTAAAAGGAAATACTTTTCTCCCTCATGCCATTTGCTTTGATTAAGTACAGTATTTTCTCCCTTCCTGCTCCTCTTGACTGTTCGGAGAGGTGGTGTGCACGGGAATGGAAGACTAGGAGGGAGCCGAGCTGCAGCAGCACGCTGCCCACGGTGCTCCTGGGAGGCAGGTGGCAGAACAAGGATCAAACACACTTTGGTCTTCAAAGTAACGAAGACACTGGATTGTCACAATTTCAGTTGAATGCCCCTCCCTCTGTGACTCGATTGCTTTGCCTTTGAACTGCCCACTGGAAAGAGCCTGGAGTGTAACTGCTCAGGCCTTTCTGCGGCTGCCAGCTGCTGCCCTTCACATTTGATCCCACGTCACGAGTTCAGTGCAGGAACGTCGTGGTGTAAAGTGGTAGGGACATCCAAGGTATCCAAGTGAAGCAAAGCAATGCAGCAGAAAGGCTGTGGAGCTGCCTGTTGGAGGCTGATCCTTCTGCAGAGAGTCTACGGATGAGGAAGGCACAGAAACCTAACAATTAGGACCAAATGGAGAGGACGTTTTGATCGGCTACTCGATCGAAAGCAATCGTCACATTTTGCTTGAGTATTTTATAGGTGCGTGATGCCTTCAAAATAACTCTTTGTCCTCTACTTTTTTTTTTTTTTAAAAGATTTACTTATTTATTTGAAAGTCAGAGTTAACAGAGAGAGAAGGAGAGGCAGAGAGGGAGGAGGGGTCTTCCATCCTCTGGTTCACTCCCCAGTTGGCCACAATGGCCGGAGCTATGCTGATCCGAAGCCTGGAGCCAGGAGCTTCTTCCAGGTCTCTCACGCTGGTGCAGGGGCCCAAGGACTTGGGCTATCTTTTATTGCTTTCCCAGGCCACAGCAGAGAGCTGGATCAAAAGTGGAGCAGCCGGGTCTTGAACCAGTGCCCATATGGGATGCTGGCACTGCACGTGGCAGCTTTACTCACTATGCCACAGTGCTGGTCCCTGTCCTCTACTTTTAATTCAACTGTTGGCATTGGTTTGTACAAAAAAGTTCATATAAGGATACTTAGAAAAGCAAGTGTGCATTTGCCTGTTACCTTTGTATTGGAGTGGGGGGAAAAAGTCAGGTATGCCATTATGAATCCTGTGGACATTGTCCAGATAAACTGATCCATAAGCAGTTGCTTTCAAGCAGATCTTAACATGTTTATAAATATAGCTATTTCTTCCAGTCCCATTCTTCCCCAGATCTGTACTCTTTAGAAACATTGCTGTTTTACTAAACTTTTATTGAGAGCCTTAATGCCATACTTCAAAGACAATCGTTATAATGTTGAAAATGAAAGGTTAAAATCAAACTACAAAGATTGTTTTCATTTTTTTAAAGGTTTATTTATTTATTGGAAAGTCAGAGCCACAGAGAAAGAGAAGCAGAGGTAGACAGAGAAGAGGAGAGAGAGAGAGAAGAGGAGAGAGAAAGGGAGATCTTCCATCCACTGGTTCACTCCCCAAATGGCTGCCACAGTCAGGGCTGGGCCAAACCAAAGCCAGGAGCCAGGAGCTTCTTCCTGGTCTCCCACGTGGGTGCAGGAGCCCAAGGACTTGAGCCATCTTCTGCTGCCTTCCCAGGTGAATTAGCTGGGAGCTGGATCTGAAGTGGAGCCACACACACACACACACACACTGCAGGCAGCAGCTTAACCCTCTACAATACACAACAAAGTGTGGACTATGTTCTCTAGAACAGAATGAGCCTGTTGACTTGAGAGGATTCAAAATGTAACAGAATCTTGAAGCCTGTCACAGAGGACCCCCAAACTTATTAAAATCCTTTGTCCATGGCAGAAACCACATGCTAGGACTAATTTACCAGGGCAGCAGAGAGAGAGAGAGAGAGAGAGAGAGAGACTGGGTTGGCATGTTGGCTGAGTGGGGAGCTTCCTAGCCCTGGAACATGGCCAGGAGTGGATAATGACCGTCAGGATCTGGCAGGTCAGGAATGGGCCTCACAGGTGCTGGGTGGGGCAAAGCCTGCATTTAAGCAAACACAGGTAAATCCAGCAGGCCCAGGCAGACGGAGGGGCAAGGGTGGAAACAAGAATAAAGAAGTGGTGGAGCTGAAGTGGGCAGTGGGCCCACCTCTGAGGAGGATTCTAAGAGCGAAGACATGGTGGCCAGAAATGGGTGGAGAGATGGGGTGAATAAACAAGGTCAGGATCAGTTCCTGCTCTGTGAAATGATGATAATAAAAGCTACCTCAAAGGTTGTTGAAAGACATAAATAAGATAATGCCTTTTAAGAGTTCTTAGGACGAGCTAACCAGACATGGGTCCAGGACAAGAAGGGGTGGAAACGCAGCAAGCAGGAATCAGGAGAGGATGCCCAAGATTCTTTGGCTGTTTATGGGTCCAAGATTTCCATTCAGTGCTCCCCACTTCACCCCCCAAAAATCTCAGAGACTTCTGAGACTGGAAACTTTGCCTTTTGGCTAACACCAAGTCTATGGAGGTGAAATTTCCTTACCACAACTAACAGTAAGGTTGGGTCTACATAGTAAGCCCATCCTGGTAGCCCTAAACTACTGCACGTCAGGGGTGATTTGCTTCCATCTGCTCAGCATTAAGTCCCAACAGAGAATAACCTTGTAAGTCAAAGGGACCACAATAAAAGTAGTCCCACAAGACAGCGGAAATCGACTACAACATCCCTGTAGTTGTCGTCTATTAGTGTGTAGCAAATTGCTCCAAAACTTAGCAATTGAAAACGCACATTATGTCGTAGTTTCAGAGGCTCAGAAAACCCAGAGCAGCTTAGCGGGGTGGTTCTTGATTCAGGGTCTCTTAGGAGGCTGCAGTCAAACTTCACCCAGAGGTTCAAAAACTTTCAGGTTTGGCTGAGTCTAGAAGATTCACTTAAAGCTTCCTCATTGACTGTTGCCAAGAGATTTCGGTCCTTTGGCATGGAGCCTCTCCATGGGCTGATAAATATCTGACAGCCAGCTTCCCCTGAGCAAGTGACTCAAGGTGTAAAGAGTTACACCATTTTGCCTTTAATGACCCTGTCTGCAAGTCCTATCCCTTCTATTCATTAGAAGTGACTCATTAAGTCCAGCCCACAATCAAAGGAGGGAATGACACAAAGGCGTGAATACCAGGGGGTTGGGATCACGGGGCTTCCTCCATTCCCTAGAAGATGTCATCACATTTTAACACAAACACTTCCAGAGATGGGTAGCTGGTTTCAGAGGCAGCCCAACCCATTTCTGAAGAGCAATGTAGTTTAATTTATAACAAGTGAACATCTCCAGCAGCTTCCATACATCAGTCCTAATTCAATCACAACATGTTCTCTCACAAGATAATCATGCGAATATTTGGAAACACGTCAACTTCTCAGTCATTGGAGAGACAAGCGACTCAAATTATTCCTTCGACCACTCCTCCTGCGGTAAGGGTTTCAGTCTCTTTTTCATTCTGATTTCTTGCTTGTGGGGCAGAGCTTCACTCTATTTCAAATCGCTCATGGAAAAATTAAAGGGTAAGTTTATTTAGGCATAAAGAATATTGAAATGCATGCAACAGCTTTTTCAAAATATGCATTTCCATGAACTTTTTGAATACCTGTGTATATGGGCAGTAACTTACTGGGCAACAGAAGGAAAGGCAGGATACAGGTGCCAACTTTGGCTGGGAGTTACTCCAAGGGCTTTCTGCTGCTTCTCAGGCCGTTGATTACTATCAAGCTTCTGGTTCAAGCACACTCCTAATTGTGTTGCCAGCGAACCATGCATTCTGCATGATGAACCTGTGCAGTTAATTTTTAGATCAAAATTCAGGATCTATTATTTATCTTTGTTAGATTGTTCTGTCTTTTCTTTCACTCGTGTAGCAGTTTCAAATGACTTACATGTACACCTATCACGTTTTCCAATGATACAATACTTTGACAGCAAGCTATTATTGGCAAGTTAATTTCCTGAGCTCTGAGATGTCAATGATTGTAAGATGCACCATTGATTCTAATAACAGTTTTCCAGGAAAAATAGCACTACATTATCCAAATAAATCAATCATAAGAGATGGATCCTGATTGCAGAAGTATTACGATACGAAAAAACTTTATGCTGGAATGAAAGAAAAGAGATGTTGGGTGGTGACAGCAGCATTCAAAAAGATTCTACCAGACTAGAAAAATTGGAGATATTTGAATCAAGGCCAAGAACATAACCCCACCAAAAGGAACTTTATTTATTTAATCATTCCTTCCTTCATTAAAGTGTTCATGGCACATCTGCTCTGTGTCAGAGGTGGTGTAAAGCAAACATGAGTAAGATGTGGACTCTGCCCTCCGGAGCTCAGTTTTTGTAAAAGAAAAAAAAACTGCCTTCAAACATAGTTTCCACTGCTTTTTGAGCACAATATGTTGTTTCTCATTCATCCTGAAGGTTCTTTAAGCCCCGAGTCAAATTTTTACCTTCTACTCGTATTTGATCAGACCTTGCCTGCCAAATGCAGTGGATTTGAGACTAAAGGCTTAACAAATTCGTGGTTTGGGTACATGTCCTTATGGGGCCTCAGCTTTCTAAATAAACCATGTAACGCAGGGGACAGAACAATGAAGGGACTGAAGGCTTTTCCCCCTGGGGTTTCTTCTGATTAAAAACAAAGTTTAGGTGGGGATTGGGTGGTCATTTGGTGCAGTGGTTTAACTGCCACTTGGAACAGCTGCATCCAGAGTGCCTTGAGTTTGAGTCCTGGTTCTGCTCCCAATACCAGCTTCCTGCTAATGTGTACCTTGGAAGGCAGCAGGTGGCAGCTCCAGTCATTGGGTCACTGACACTTATGTAGGAGACCTGGATTGAGTTCCTGGCTCCTGGCTTCTGCCTGCCACAGCCCTAGCTATTGTGGGCATTAGGGGAGTAGATCTATCTACCCCTCTCCCACCCGCTGCTTTTCAGGTAAGTTGAATAAATGAACAAAACACTAAAAAACACATATAAATGAGTAAAGGAAATATTGATGAGTAGATGTAAAGGTGGGTAGATGTCTAGATGGATGGATGAATGAGTGGGTAGACAGATAAACAGGCAGACACCAGGAGAGCAAATGGAGCAATTATTTCTGCATCTTCCAGAGATGCCAAAACTCCTGCTGAGACTTCTACATCAGTAAGTAAAGGGAAGTTCTTACTGAAGGATGAGATGAGTGGGACATAATGCGCGAACCATTATCACCTGCTTTCTTTCTCAAATTGTAAGCAGAGAGCTGTAGTCTAACTTTCCTAAATTTCCTGAACACAAGGAATTTTCTAAATTCATGACTGTATTTACTTCCTTGCATCTTTCACATACCGTACAATCCATACACTTAAAGTACGCATTGAATGGTTTTTAGGATAGTCACATATTTGTTCAAGCCAATTCCACATTCAGTTTTATAATTGAAACCCTACACCCATTCACCTCCATTAAGTAACCCCCCCCCCCCCCCCATTTACTGCAGCTTCTCAGCAGCCTTAGGTATCCACTGGTCTACTTCTGTCTCCATGGATGTGCCTACTCTGGACACTTCACATAAGTTGAATGTTAGGTGGTTTCCTTCTTTCACTTAGTGTAATAATTTCAAGGTTCATCCATACTGAGGCATGTATCAGCACTTAGTTCTTTTTGTTACTCAATAATGAATATACACATTTTATATATCCACTTATCAGCTGATGGACATTTGAATTGTTTTAGCTTTTTGACTATTATAACTAATATTATTAACATCTAAGTATCAGTTTTGTGTGGACATATGCTTCATTTCTCTGGGGTGGAATTGTGGGTTATGTGGTAGCTGTATGTTTAATCTTTTGGGGACCTGCCAGGCTATTCTAAAGCAGTTACAGTATTTTACATTCACAACAGTTGTGTGTGAGGGTTTCAACTTCTCCACATCCTTATCAACATTTGTTATATCTTTTTAACTTATATTCTAGTGGGTATGAAGTGGTATCTCATTATGGTTTTGATTCACATTTGCTTGTTGGCCATTTGTATGTCTTTTTGGGAGAAATGTCTGTTCAGGTCCTTGCCCATTTTTAATTGGGTTATTTGTATTTAAATTTTAAAAAACTTTATTAATTTATTTGTGATGCAGAGGAACAGAGAGAGAGAGAGAGAGAGAGAGAGAGAGAGAGAGAGAGAGAGAGAAAGCCAGCTTCCATCTACTGGTTCATTCCCCAAATGGCTGCAACTGTGCGTGCTGGGATGAGGCTAAAGCTAGGAGCCTGGAACTCAATCCAGGTCTTCCATGTGGGTAGGGGGAACCCCATTACTTGAACAATCATTGCTGCTTCCCACAGTCTGTGTGTTAGCAGGGAATCAAACCCAGGTACTCATCTATGGGCATCCTAACCAATGTGTTAACCATTAGGCTAAATTCCTGCCACACTATATTTTTATTATTGAGTTACCAAAGGTTTGCTTCTCAGTGGCAGAAAGAATTAGAAGGATGTCACCCCAGTGCTTATATTCTTTTCCTTGCTTTTGATTCCAATGACACTGACTAGACTCTTTCACATGGATGGCATATAGAAAAGGCAAAGCAAAGTCAGGGATACAGCAAGCTGCTCAAATCCTAATTTGCTGCCAGCAGAAAGAAGAGTAGTGTGGCCAGATGAGGTGGCAAGATGTTGTGAGACAAGCAGAGTTTTTGACAGGGAGAAGGACGCTGGGAGAATGCTGGGTACCCTGCGAGTTTACAGTCTTGGCCCAGGGCATCAGCTGTGGGAGTGAGAAATCCTACAGATGAGATAGCTTATTTGTTGTCATCATTTGCAACAAACTGTGGAAGACTGAACACTTGCCGGTTTTCAAAGTGAGTACAATAATAGTCTGTGTAGTCATTGCAGGCAGAATCCCAGAATGGCTTTTTTAAACTAGGTAGTTTGTGGGGTGGGTGTTTTGCACAGCAGTTAAGATGCCAGTTGGGATGGCCACGTCCCATATCAGAGTGTCTGGGTTCAAGTCCTGTCTCCTCTTCTTTTTTCTTTTTTAAGATTTATTTATTTTTTGAAAGGCAGAGTTATATAGAGAGGGAGAGGGAGAGGGGGAGAGAGAGAGAGAGAGAGAGAGAGAGAGATACCTTCCATCGCTGGTTTACTCCCCAAATGGCCGTAACAGCCAGGGCTGGGCCAGGCTGAAGCCAGGAGCCTGGAACCCCATCCAGGTCTCCCACATGGATGGCAGGGGTCCAAGTACTTGGGCCATCTTGTGGTGCTTTCCCAGGCTCATTAGCAGGGAACTGGATTGGAAGTAGAGCAGCCTTACTTGAAAAGGTTCCCATATGGGATGCCAGCGTCACAGGTGCCCCACTTTGCCAGAACACTGGCCCCCTGGCTCGTCTTCTGATGACAGCTCTCTGCTAATGCACACCTTGGGAAGAAGCAGGTGATGGTTTAAGTAGTTGAGTCCCTGTCACCTCTAAAGTAGACCTGGACTGAGTTACTAGTCCCTGATTTTTGCCCAGCTGTTGTAGGTATTTGGAGTGAACCAGCGGATGGGGGTTCTCTATACGTCTGTCTGGCGGCCTCTTTGCCTCTCAAAATAAAGGAGGTTGTGGTTATTAGGAAGAGGAGTGACCACCAGGAGATAAACGGGTTCACCGTTCGAACTGACACCAATTTGTTAGTAATTCTATATATGTGCTAGTGCCATTTAATAGTGGGCAGTACCAACTCTGATAAATTACATTTTTAGGTTGAAAAACAGTATTTGAATGGACATATTTGTCATAATAATTTGGAAAATTAGTAGTTCTTTCCCAACAATGGCTTGGCACTTTAACTTTGCATAAGGATTAGAAAAAGATTTTATTGGTATATAGAACAGCAGTCCCTTGTTAAATTGATTAATTAGGCCTGTTCTGTTTTTATAAGAACATAAATATTTTAGAGTAAAACCCAATTTAATAAATGAACAAGCTCATTATGATGTAATGACTTAAGTTCCGTGTTTTAAAAGTCATTACTGGAATGTGGATTACAAACTATTCAACATGGAGCCTTCAGGGGGATCTGGCTTATCTTTCGGTGATTGGAATGGCTTAAAGCTAAATATGTGTTCGTGTACAATGCAAAGTTTATAATTGGAGTCATTCCTTTTGACAAAACAATTTTGTTAAAAGGAAATAAAGTATTATGATGGGAAAATGAGGAAGAAAAGCATTCCAAGTGGGAGGAGGCTCTGACCAGGCTCCGTGTTTCTGTATTGTGTATGAACACGAAGTATGGACAGTATGGATGTAGGATGAGCACAGGTAGAAATAGCACCAAAGTGTACATGCAAGTGAAGTGATACAGTCAGCTTTAGGATAGGAGAAGTTGAAGCTAGGGCTTAAGCCATATCTATTGCATTTCACTTTTAAGAAGAGTTTTCTCAAGCAAGTGGGCTTCTCTTGTGATTT